CGTATTAAGATTCTACGATTTACGATTTTGGTTCACCCTTGCGAGTTTGCGTAGACTCTCGAGTTTGACAACCTTGGGGGTAGGGGAAAAACAAACGGTGAAAGATTTAATTTTTTTTCAAATTCCATTAACTTTTCCTTGTTTACTCTCTTAGGAAGCTAAGACCTGGAAGCAAAAGTATATACATGTCTTGCATGAATTGGAGAAGGTCAAACAAATACATTTGAAAACTACTCAGACACTTAAGGATATGTCTATTCAGCATATGATGACTTGTCAAGAGAGAGACGAAGCCATAGAAAAACTCAATAAATATATGAACAAGTCGGTGCCCTCTACCTCAAAGCAATTGGAAAACTCATCGGTTCAAGGCTTAAGTGGCACTCTATTCCCTGCATTGCGCTCTTGTGAAAGGCCTACAATTGATCCTGCAGATGCAGTGATTCTTAACCTTGCCAAGGGAAAAGTCTTAACACAAAGGGGTAATCTCTTTCAGGCTATAAAGAGGGTTCCCTTGATGTTGGAGATCTTTTCTGAAGCTGTTTCTAACATGACAAATCCACAACCTTTGCAGCTTGTAAAAGCTCCAAATTCACCATCACCTTTTCAGGCCATGTCAGATCCACAACCTTCTATGCACAACTATGCTGCTGTCACTACTCCCTCACGGAACCATGCAGTGCCGAGTTCTTCCAATGCTACTACTGCCAATGAAATGAATTCCGTCGAAAATGGATGAATAAAATAAATGGGAAAGAAATTGATTTTGTGAAATTTTTCGACGGAAAATGGATTCCGACGAAGATTTTGGACGGAAAATTAATTCCGTCGAAAACGGATGAATAAAATAAATGAAAAAGAAATTGAGTTTGTGAAATTTTTCGACGGAAAATGGATTCCGTCGAAAACAGATGAATAAAAAAAATGAAAAGAAATTGATTTTGAGAAGGTTTTCGACGGAAAATGAATTTCGTCGAAAACGGATGAATAAAATAAAATGAAAAGAAATTGATTTTGTGAAATTTTTCGACGGAAAATGGATTCCGTCGAAGATTTTTGACAAGAAATGAATTCCGTCGAAAACGGATGAATAAAATAAATGAAAAAGAAATTGATTTTGTGAAATTTTTCGACGGAAAATGGATTCCGTCGAAAACGGATGAATAAAACAAAATGGAAAAGAAATTGATTTTGTGAAATTTTTCGACGGAAAATTAATTCCGTCGAAAACGGATGAATAAAATAAATGAAAAAGAAATTGATTTTGAGAAGGTTTTCGAAGATTTTTGACGGAAAATGAATTCCGTCGAAAACGGATGAATAAAATAAATGAAAAAGAAATTGATTTTGAGAAGGTTTTCGACGGAAAATGAATTCCGTCGAAAACGGATGAATAAAATAAAATTGAAAAGAAATTGATTTTGTGAAATTTTTCGACGAAAAATGAATTCCGTCGAAAACGGATGAATAAAATAAAATGGAAAAGAAATTGATTTTATGAAATTGTTCGACGGAAAATGAATTCCGTCGAAGATTTTTGACGGAAGATGAATTCCGTTGAAAACGGATGAATAAAATAAATGAAAAAGAAATTGATTTTGTGAAATTTTTCGACGGAAAATGGATTCCGTCGAAAACGGATGAATAAAATAAAATGGAAAAGAAATTGAATTTGTGAAATTTTTCGACGGAAAATAGATTCCGTCGAAAACGGATGAATAAAATAAATGAAAAAGAAATTTATTTTGAGAAGGTTTTCGATGGAAAATGGATTCCGTCGAAGATTTTTGACGGAAAATGAATTCCGTCGAAAACGGATGAATAAAATAAATGAAAAAGAAATTGATTTTGTGAAATTTTTCGACGGAAAATGGATTCCGTCGAAGATTTTTGACGGAAAATGAATTTCGTCGAAAATGAATGAATAAAATAAATGAAAAAGAAATTGATTTTGAGAAGATTTTCGACGAAATTTGGATTCCGTCGAAGATTTTTGACGAAAAACGAATTCCGTCGAAAATGGATGAATAAAATAAATGAAAAATAAATCTCCCTCTTAATTCGTTTAATCGAGTAAAATTTATATTTAATCGATTAAATATCCCAAATGAGCATGAAAGCGTTGATAATAAAAAGAAAATATAATGATTGTAATATTTTAAAATAATAATAAAAATAATAATAATCAAAGTAGTAATATATATATATATATATATATAAATATAATAAATAATAAATAAATAATAAATGAATACTAATGAAATATGTGATCTTTTACTAAATGATTCTGATTTGACTGGCCCACAAGGGGATTAGAATGGTTATTGGGTAAGGGACGCCTTATCATGGCTTGACCTCCGCTATACAGAACCTTTCACATACAGAACTCTCAGAGGTTGGGCGCTCCAGAATTGAGCATTAGTCATCTCTGTTAAGGATTACACGTTGATTGATACATTAATTTTGATTAGTGATTTATATTATGGGTACATTAATTGTGATTAGTGATTGATACACTAATTATGATTGACGATTGATACATTAATTGTGATTGAGGATTTATATATTAATTTTGATTGGTAAGTTAATTAAATAATCATTTTTCCTTTGTTTTTTTAAATTTTTTGATTGTGTTTGGTACATTTATTCTGATCGGGCAATGATATTGTTTTTATTTTATTTAGTTATATATTATGAAAATATACTTTTGTTTTTAACATTAAATTTATTTTTAAAGTTTAATTTTAATATTTCAAATTATTTTTTTCAAATTCTTCTTCAAATTTTAACTACTCTATTTTTATATATTAAATCATATTATATTATTTAAAATTTGGAAGCAATTTTTTTCAATAAAACTTTTATATTATATCTCTGTCTCTGTACTCGAAATCTCCAACTTAGAATTTTTTTTTTCGTTTCCCGCCTCTCTATTTTCTTTCCCCCAAAAATGAATCCTAGTGACATTGGAAGTGAATCCTAGATCAGAAAAATATCCACATAAAGAGAGTCCCACGATTTCTTCTCTCTTTCCTCGTTAACTCTGTCTCTCTCTCAAGTGTCAATGGCGGATCCAATCTCGAAGGCTCTGATTTCGTTTGCGCCCGTAGCTTCCTCGTTGTTGTGTTTACGCTCATCGTTGTTGCTCTATATAAATTATTTCTCTCTTAGCAGTCACAGAAACCTCATAGCCAAAAATGGTGATTACTCTTTGACCAGTACTCTTCCACTCTCTTACGCTCATCCGTGTTGGTCACAGTGTTTCGAGTTTCACTACTCCGAAAGAGGAGAGAGACAGAGATGACGCGGGGAAAGGAGAAGATGGAAGCGCAGAAGCGAAACCCAGAGAAGAATCTGAAGGCGGTCTCAGGAGATCCTGCAGGTAAGTCCATGGATTGAAGAGACCAATCAAACAGAAGGTAAGTGTAGTTGATCTTATTTACATAAATTATAAGCTACATATTTTAATTTTCCCCCATAAATTTTAAGCTATATTTACAAAGGGATTAGTTGGTTGAGTTTAGCTACATATTTTCTTAATCTTTTAATTCGATAATTGATTTTTTTTTGCTGGTGTAGGTTTTAACTGATGACTATTCAAAACTTGCATTTTTATGTGCTGACCGCTCTGTTCGTCTACATGCGAAATATGGAAAGCACTACAGTTTGCGAATACCAAGGTTTCTTCTTTAGGCTTTACGTATATTACTCTTGTAGTATAAAGTCTGACTTATGTAAAAAAAATCACATTAATGTGTTTTGTGTAACTTCTGAGTTTCCTATATTCTATTAATCCACGGTTTTGATAGTATTAATATTAAAGTCAATTACCATAGAGATTCTGTTACATACAAGGATATTAGGCAACTGAAGACATGGAGGTTGTATTCTAGAAGGCCAAAAACAGTTAGCTAGGAAAGTATTTTTGTATCTGTTAGTTAATGGGGGAGCCTGTTTGTATCAGTTTGTTAGTAAGGAGAGAACTTTGGTATAAAAAGGGGAAGAATATATTTTGGGGGAACAATTAGTGTAGGAAAAACTTAGCTGAGAGATTCTCAAGAAGGACAAGTACCCTTGGAAAGAGGAAGTTGATAGAACCCCTTCTATCGAACCTACTAATATGGTAGAGGGCTTGGGTGCTGTAGACCAGGGAAAGGAGAACGAGACTGACCAGAGGAGGACAGACAAGAACATACGTGGACAAAGAAGAAGAGACAAGAGACTAAGGCAGACACCTGGATGGCTTAAAGACTTTTGGGCTTTGACAAGTGACTGAGTGAAGTGAAGATGGACAAAAGGTTATTGGGCTGAGAAGTGGCCCATTAACTATCAGCCAGATAAATAGTAAAATAAGGAATTCCAAAGAGATAGCTGGCCCAGCAATTACATTTACCTTCTAAAATTACATTCTGTTTAACATATAGTAGCATAGGGACCACTTGGGGTTTTTAGCTAAAATCTTGTAACAAACTTCTCTTTTCTCTCGCTGAAAAACCTTCTAGAGTTGCCGGCATCCTCGAATCTGCCGTTGGTATTTTCAACTTTCAGTATAATTTTCCTTTCTGTGTTCTTGTTTGAGATAGCATAGTCTATCATTTGGTGCTCTTTTCATTGAGAGGCAACTTCCTCAAGCAAAAATGGCGGAAGGAACTCGATCCACAGTCAAAACAAACATGATAGAAGAATGCGTTACAAAGCTTGCTCGCCATGAAGATCAGTTCAATGTCTTTGGGGAATTGCTCCAGAACATGAACTTGAAGCTGACATTAATGGAAGCCAAGCTGAACCAGAATCAAAAAAATAAATCAGAAGTGAAAGGAGGAAGCAGTAGTGAAACTGGACTGAATACCTTCTTTGGGAATGATGCATATAAATCGGTGAAGTTCACAGTGCCGAGATTTACAGGAGGGAACCCAGAACCTTGGATCCACAAGATCCAACAATTTTATGGATTCCATAATTTGAGTGATTAAGATAAGCTCACGTTGACCTCCTTCCAAATGGATGGAGCGGCTGAAGAATGGTTTCATTGGATGGATAGGAGCCAGAGACTAACAACTTGGGATGCCTTCATAGTAGCACTACGATCCAGGTTCGGCCCGTCCAGATATCGAGATCTCAGAGGTGAATTAGGGAGATTGACACAGCATACAACAATAGAAAATTATCAAAAAGAATTTGAACGGTTATCCAACCAAATCATAGGAATTAATGACATTTCCTTACAAAGTTATTTTGAGAATGGTCTAAAATCGGAGATTCGAAAAGAGGTTCGAATGCACTTACCAGAGTCGTTGCAGAATGCTATTGAGCTAGCTAAGGTGGTTGAGGATAAGTTGAGTGATAGAGCTCCTGCACGCTTGGGGTATCAGAAATTTTTTTCCAGTAATCAGGTAGTTAGACCTCAACAGGGTTTACTGCCCACACCAAACAAAGGAGTGGTCAACGCGGCTGGATCGTCCAGAGATACCATTCCCATTAAACGCTTGTCAGCTGCAGAAATGATGGAAAAAAGAGAAAGAGGCCTATGCTACTATTGTGATGAAAAATTTCACAGGAACCATGTCTGCAAGGGAAATATGTTGTTAATGATGATCCAAGAAGGTGAAGAGGAGGAAAAAGATGAGGAATTGGAAGTTACCAATGAGAAAATTGGGGGTGAGGAAGAAATACCTGGCATTAGCTTACATGCCATGGATGGCCAATATTCTTCTAGGACACTACGGTTGAGAGGAGTCATCAATAAGAAAACGGTCCAAGTGTTGGTAGATGGAGGATCTACTCATAATTTTGTGCAAGAGAGGATGGTCAAATTTCTTGGGCTGGAAGTAAAACCCATCACTCAGTTCCAGGTACTAGTGGGCAATGGAGCACGCTTGGGGTGTAAAGGAGTCTGTCAACAGATAGGACTGAACTTACAAGGACACATGTTCTTACCAGATTTATTTGTGCTCCCAATCCAAGGAGCTGAAGTAGTGTTGGGCGTTCAATGGCTGTCCGAGTTTGGAGATGTGACTACCAACTACAATAATCTGGTTCTGAAATTTGAGAGAGCAGGAAAACTGATTGAGCTACAAGGGGAGAGTAGGTTGCAGGTGGAACCCATCGAGTTACATCAACTTCGAAAACTGACACATTCTGATGCTGTGGCCACCTACTTCCAAATGCAGACTATTGACCACCAATATTCAGCAGACCCATATGAGGAGAAAGATTGCCACCCATTGATACAACCAGTGTTACATGAGTTTGAAGATATCTTTGAAAAACCAACACAACTACCACCCATAAGATTGGAGGATCACCGAATCCATTTGGAGCCTGGAACCAAGGCAGTGAATGTTAGACCCTACAGGTACCCTTATTTTCAAAAATCAGAAATTGAAAAGATGGTTAAAGAGATGTTGGATACCGGAGTTATAAGGCCTAGCTTGAGTCCCTTCTCTTCCCCAGCCTTATTGGTCAAGAAGAAGGATGGAACTTGGAGGTTCTGTATTGATTATAGAGCTTTAAACCAAGTCACCATTCCGACCGTTTTCCAATTCCCACAGTAGATGAAATGTTGGACGAACTAACAGGAGCAGTCATTTTTTCTAAACTGGACCTACGCTCAGGTTACCATCAGATTAGAATGGCTCCTGAAGATGTGTATAAGACAGCCTTTAGAACACACCAAGGGCACTACGAGTTTATTGTGATGCCCTTTGGGCTCACTAACGCCCCAGCAACATTCCAAGGTATTATGAACTCGGTTCTAAGGGAATTTCTGCGCAAGTTTGTTATAGTATTCTTTGATGACATACTAGTGTATAGTAAGTCAGTGTGGGAACATGTGGAGCATCTAAGGAGGGTTATGAATTGTCTTCGGCAGAATCAGATGTATGCCAAAAGATCCAAATGTGCATTTGCTCAAGAGGAAGTGGAGTACTTGGGTCATGTGGTAGATGCAAAGGGGGTGAGACCAGATGTGGGAAAAATACGGGCTATAATGGATTGGAATACACCATCCACTCTGAAACAATTACGCGGGTTCCTTGGCTTGGCTGGTTATTACAGAAAATTTGTTCGTGGATTTTCTCAAATAGCAGCCCCATTAACCGCTTTGTTACATAAGAATGCCTTTGTTTGGAGTGATAAGGCTGACCAGGCTATCTTCGAACTAAAGAAGGCCCTGTCTAACCCACCAATTCTCGCACTACCAGATTTCACTAGGAGATTTGTGTTGACAACTGATGCTTCAGGTATTGGGGTGGGAGCTGTACTAAGTCAGGATAACAGACCAATAGCCTATTTCAGCAAGAAACTCAACCCTAAGATGCAACAAGCTTCAACCTATGTGAGAGAGATGTTCGCTATCACTGAGGGTGTTTCTAAATGGAGGCAGTATTTATTAGGGGGACCTTTCACTATTAGAACTGACCAAAGGAGCCTAAAGGACATGATGGGACAGGTTATACAAACCCCTGAACAACAACGCTTCCTGGTTAAGCTGCTTGGATTTGATTATACCATAGAGTACTACCCAGGAGCTGTGAATAGGGTAGCCGACGCGCTATCTCGAAAATCAGAAGCGGATTCAACAGGACAAGCAGAGGCTGCATGCACAATGGTCCTAACACAGGTTACTCACCACCTGATTGAACAAATAAAGTCAGAGGGTCAAACCAATACAGAATTAATCCAATTGAAAGACAAAATTGAAAGTGGTGTTGAAGGGTATGAACAATACAGTTTGCGTGAGGAATTGATCCTGTACAAGGGCAGAGTCACGGTTGCTTCCAATTCAGAACTCAGAATGGTCATCTTGCATGAATTCCACTCTTCTTTGATCGGAGGGCATGGGGGAGTCAAGAAGACGTTGCAGAGGATACTTCCAAATTATTACTGGACTAATCTAAAAAAAGATGTTCAGGAATTTGTTAGAACTTGTCCAATTTGCCAAGCAACAAAGTACCAACCAATGTCACCGGCAGGCTTACTACAACCCTTAACCGTACCTCTGGCTATTTGGGAGGATTTGTCCATGGATTTCATTGTTGGGCTTCCCAACTCAGAAGGAAAGACAGCCATCTTAGTCGTGGTAGATCGTCTCTCCAAGTATGCACACTTTATTGCTCTTTCCCCAAACTTCACGGCCACTAAGGTAGCTTCAGTTTTTGTGGAAAATGTTTGTCGTTTACATGGAATCCCTCGTTCGATAGTATCTGACAGTGACAACATATTTGTGAGCAAGTTTTGGTCTGAATTAGCCCGTTTAAGCGGCACTAAGCTATGCTACAGCACCGCTAACCACCCTGAAACAGACGGACATACAGAAGTTACCAACAGAGGTCTAGAGCAATATTTGCGTTGTTATGCAATGGAAACACCAAAGCATTGGGTGCATTACCTGCCATGGGCGGAATTTTCTTACAATTCGGCTTATCACTCTTCAATCGGAGTTTCCCCTTTTCAAATTGTATATGGCAGAGCTCTTCCCAATATACCACCGTACGAAGGTACCACATCTCCAATTGAGGCAGTGAACGAGTTGCTGAAAAGAAGAGATGCCATGATCAAACAACTTAGGGAGACCTTGCATAGAACCAGACAAAGAATGAAAATACAGGCAGATAAAAGGAGAAGAGATGTGCATTTAGAAGTGGGAACTCTTGTGCTCGTTAAGCTACAACCTTACAGACAAAGCTCCGTCCGCAATCAAACCTTCTCCAAACTCAGGAGACGTTACTATGGACCCTTCACCATCACCGAACGGGTTGGTCAGGTGGCGTATCGTGTGGATCTACCGGCTGAATCGAGGATACATCCGGTGTTCCATGTATCTCTCCTCAAACCATATCGACAGAATCCATCCTTTCATTTGACACCCCTTCCACAGATCAGTTGGGATAAACACCCAGTCACCAAACCAGTGGCGGTACTCAGAACCCGTGTCATCCAACGAGGAAGAAAGGAAAGTTTGCAACTTTTGGTGTAGTGGGACGGTTTACCACTGGAGGACGTGACTTGGGTCTCCTACACAGAGTTCTGTCAAGCTTTTCCTGGTTTTGATCTTGAGGACAAGATTGATTTTTCAGGGAGGGAGGGAATTGATAGAACCCCTTCTATCGAACCTACTAATATGGTAGAGGGCTTGGGTGCTGTAGACCAGGGAAAGGAGAACGAGACTGACCAGAGGAGGACAAACAAGAACATACGTGGACAAAGAAGAAGAGACAAGAGACTAAGGCAGACACCTGGATGGCTTAAAGATTTTTGGGCTTTGACAAGTGACTGAGTGAAGTGAAGATGGACAAAAGGTTATTGGGCTGAGAAGTGGCCCATTAACTATCAGCCAGATAAATAGTAAAATAAGGAATTCCAAAGAGATAGCTGGCCCAGCAATTACATTTACCTTCTAAAATTACATTCTGTTTTACATATAGTAGCGTAGGGACCACTTGGGGTTTTTAGCTAAAATCTTGTAACAAACTTCTCTTTTCTCTCGCTGAAAAACCTTCTGGAGTTGCCGGCATCCTCGAATCTGCCGTTGGTATTTTCAACTTTCAGTATAATTTTCCTTTCTGTGTTCTTGTTTGAGATAGCATAGTCTATCAGAAGTCCTTTTCTATCAAGTATTCAGAACTCAATAAAAATTATGTTTCTGTTCTCTGTAATTCATTCCCCTCTTCGATTCTTTTTGTTGCTTGAAGAAAAGATTTGGTTATAAAAGTCCAGGGTCGTAACAGATTCTAGATTGTTTGTAATCTGAGGGGTTAATGAGCTTGTTAAGCAAGAATAACAACCACTTTTAATCACTGATGAGTTGTTGAGTTTTCCTTCTAGGGAGAGTGAAGGTTCGTTTCAGTTTGGTGACTATTGGAGGGAGGTTGATGATCTACATGCTGTATCTCAACACTTTCATGGAGCATTGTAATACTCGTAGACTTGTAGTTAACAACCTGCTCAAGCTCCATTCAATTTAAATTTTATGCTCCATGGAATAACAATTCTGGTTCAGGCCTGTTTGTTTTCTTAAGTTATTTGCATGCATTTTGAATGGTGGTCTTCATCCTATTTTAAAATGTTCATTATTTCTTAGATTATATTTATCAAAATTACTTGTTTTAGTGGCTCAGGTGGTGCAACTTATTCTGAATTGTTTCTGTATCTTGGAGCAGGAGCTACTGTGGTGCTTCTTTATGCTTCAAAGTATATTGATGACCACGGAATATTGTTTGTTCAAAAATAGCAGTTAACAATATACCATGTGTGCATGAAAAACGATTTTTGCAAGAGAAAAAAAAGTAGCAGTTAAAAAAAACCAAATGGTAACGAATATAAGTAAAAAAGCACTCCATTGCCATTTTTTTTTGTCTTTACCTGTACCAAGCAGTGATGTTATCTTATAGTAGACAGAAGGAAATTTACGACATTAATCTTTGAAATACTTCCTTGTAAACTATATTAAGGGTACTATTTGTAACACAACTGTTTTCATCAAGTATCAATAACTTCAATCCATGCTTGCTCTTTACTCTAGACAGTGCCACATATAGTGTCGTTAGTCTTTGGAATTTCACAAATTTATATTTACAAAAATTAAAATCAAATTTAGTAATTTAATTATAAAAGAAGAAGGAAAAAATTTCAATTGAATTATAAAAATATATTGGCGGGCCGGCCCTCTGGGCCGAGCCCAGTTTTCCACTTCTTAACTATCAGCATTTTATATAAATATTTTTTTTGCAAGGAATAGTGTCCTTAGTCTTTGGAATTTCACAAATTTGTATTTACAAAAATTGTAATCAGATTTAGTAATTTAATTATAAAAGAAAAATGATAAAATTTCAATTTAATTATAAAAATATATTGGCGGGCCGGCCCTCTGGGCCGAACCCAGTTTTTCACCTCTAACTGTCAGCATTTTATATAAATAATTGTTTTTTGCAAGTATTTGTGTTAATTACACTCTTGCGATAAAAAAAATGAAAGTTTAATATCTTTTTTATATACTAAATTAAAATTTTCATTTTTATAGTTCTTAAATTTTAATAATTTTTTACATAATGACAGACGTCATTTTTTATTTAAATTTAAATATTTAAATTTAAAATTTTTTATATTAATTATACATATTTTATTATGTAATTTTTTCTATTTTAATTTATGATTTGTATATATATTTTTAATTGATTATACATGTATATTTAAAATTTTTATGTTAAATATTTTTTTAAGTACAGGTATTTTTTTTAATTGGTTATACATGTATATTTAAAATTTTTATGTTAAAATTTTAATTTATTTTTTGTAAAGTATAAATTATGCCATTTCTTATTTTTTCATTGAAATTTGAAATTTTAAATAATTTTTATCGACTATAAATGTATTTTATAATTTTAAATATTTTATTGTTTAACCTATAATTTTATATTAAATTCATATTGTTATATATATCTTTTCTCACTGCATAAATATTAAATGCTGAACTCTTTTGCCACATATTAAGTTCACTTAATTTTCTATTTAATTTATTTCCAAATTTTGAATTAATTTTACAATATAAATAATT